GGAGGGGCGGGTGGAGGGGAAACGGTTCGGTTCGGTGCCACCAAACAAGCGCGGTTCGGTACGGTACCGGTACGGTTCGGTACGATACTGCAGGAAAGTATTGTTGAAACGCCCATGATGAATCTCTAAGCAGATTTTGTACTAAGAATGCAGAAGCCCTTGAAAAGGATCCAAAGGCGGCTCTCAGTTTTTCAGGCGTGCGCGGCTTGTAACTTGGGAACGACTGCTTTCTTTGAGGATGGCAGTTTTACGAAGTCTTGTAGTTTGGGAGCTGCTGTTTCGCTTGGGCTTGAAATTAGCCAGGTATCGGTTACAGATCCGCGTCCGTTTACATGCCCGATATTGGTCAGATGAGTACAACGCTAGAACTGTGGAGGCTGATGCAAAGTCCCGAGCCCTCAACCCCAAAGCTGGAACAGTTCCCGTTTGAAGCGCGCAATCTCTCAGCCCCGGTCAGGCTGCGACAACAAGTGCCATCATCTTCACTGAGGGTGGAGGGGTGGCTTAGATGGACATTGTGGGGAGAGTTCTATACTGGCCTGCGCCAAGGGGCTAGTTGAGGGTCGTGCTGGCGCCAGCTTTCCTGCAGGATTAGCTTGCCGGTGACTAGGCGAACAGTCACTCCCAATTACTCCGGCGTCCTCGTACCTGACCACATCCCTAATTCAAACTGACAAGACCCAAACTAGAGCCTCAGTACAGGCCTCATCGTGACAGTAGGAAACGGATTCTGGCGGATTACGGCACAAGCAACTGTATGTTCATGCTGTTCGTAAGCCCTTCAGGACGTGGAGTGAGAGTTGCACGTTTAGTAGAAACTATTGGTTTATGGAAAGCTTTGACTATGACATGCCGGTGCTAATCATTCAGGTCAGCTCATGTTGATGGCCATCAGATCCGGCCCTCATGAGGTTAAGTTTGCAAAGCCTTCTTAGATGGGGCTCCCATTGGTGGGAGATGGAGGGGTTGGGCGCTTGAAGGCTTGTGAAAACCGGGGAAACTAGTAACTAGATAGTTAGCCTAGAGCAGCAGAGAGAATGACGAGAGCTACCCTGTGGCGCTACCTGCAGACTCATCATTGCATCGGGCTTGCAGCCTGCAATGAGGTATATGGAGTGTCCAAGTACAGCGGCGGGAACGCAACGGCCCTGAACAGCGACTTGGTGGATATCAGAAGGTAATTACTAATACTAATACTAATAGTAATAGTAATAGTAATAGTAATACTAATAGTAATAGTAGTAATAATAGTAATAGTAGTGGTAATAGTAATAGTAGTGGCAATGGTAATCGTAATAGAAATTACACATGGCCTTATTTAACATCTTTCAAAGTGCTCGGCACCGCTATCCCCCAGTTCCCCGCATCCTGAACACCGAACCAAGAACCCCAAAACCCGAAACCCGAGACAAGGCAAATAAAGCCTTGAAATCCACACTTACCACTAATCACCTCCCCACACTACCCCCCTACGCTCAATGTTGACTCAATAGCGAATGTTCTCCGTACGCATATGGTGGCACTGTCTTGGGAGTGCTTGTTCGTGGGGGATGGAGGGGGTGCCTATTTCTGTAAGCGGAGGGGGATTCAATTATTCCCCTGACCCCTGGGAGGATCTAAAGATTAGATCCCCTATATAAACCCATTATAACCCCTATATAATCCTTATATAATTTCCCATATGGTTCTAGGGGATCTAATTTTTAGATCCCTTTTGGGGTCTGGGTCAAGCTTTCCACCCAGGCAATTTCGTGGTGGCACGAGGCCTTGCCTATGACGGGTCAGGTACCGTCTTCGTTGCTGATGAGGCCGAAGTCTACCGGGGGTTTAGGGTTTAGGGTTTAGGTAGGATAGGGGCTTTGGGTATGCAAAAGGGCTAAGGGTCTCCTGAAAATAGTTTTAGATTTATTGAAAAATGCGTGTTATAATTTCCCCCTGATACCTAAACGCTGAACCCTAATAAAATCGTAAACTTGATGGTTGGGGGACTTCCAGGGCAGATACAGAGGAGAGTGCTTTAGGATCCTAGGGTTTAGGGTTTAGGATTCTAGGGTGGGGCTTTGGGTTGCTGAAGCACGGGGCCCGGGACATAGTTAGTACAATTCCACCAACCCAACCAATGTCGATTGCAAATGCAGCTACGTAGTGAGTCCTGCCTGCCCCAAACTTATTGGTGCTTACATGGGACCAGTAAGTAGAGCCTTAAACCCTAATAGCGTTCCATTCCAACCCCTAGAGCCTGTGCTTAGGGTTGAGGGTGGGCCCTACCAAGGTTGTTTGACCACATTTTGCTTGGCCTGTTCCAGGGCTCTAGTTAGTCCGCAGCTTTAGGTTCAGGATCTCAGGTTTAAGGAGCTTAGGGTTCAGGGTTTGGAGCTTAAGGTTCGACATGATTTTGGGGGGTCAAGGGCCAAACTAGGGATAAGCTAGGTAGGAAAATGCTCAACCTATGTCCAGGTAGTCTCCTAAAGTCCCTCATAAACACTGTTATAGCTTCGTTTTGCAACACTTCTACCTAGGGGCTGAGGGTCCATCTAGAAGGTTGTCTTATGACGGTGCTAGGGAGCAGGAAGATCAGTATGCATCCTCCTGGTTCAGGGCACGACGGTTCTGGCTTGGAGGCAGTGTTCTTTTGGGGTCGACGAGAACACCCAGTACAGATCCCGGCTGCACACGCACGCCCATCACGCCCTACATTCAATTCTCAGCCCCTAACTCGCTCACGGGCCCCGGGCGCCCCTGGGGACCCCAAACGAATTTTGCGCATCTGCATAGCTCGATTTGAAAGGGGCCGCGCCGGACCTCTTCATATGCAAACGGGCTTGCAGGATCCGATTAACTATGTGCATCCCCTTAACGCTCCACACGCCCAGTACGGTTTGTTGATAGGCGCGGTGTTAGGGAAAACTGTCAGCAGATGACCGTTTTCAATGTGGCTGCTTTCGTGCCCAGGTTATAACCTAGAAGAACATAAGCTTACATTGTGCAAGCACCAAAATGCTACTCCTCAATTGTTTCCTAGGGTTCTCAGCCAGTCATGCAAGCCGTTTTCCTTGCGCAGTTTCGAAGAACGCCATCGCGGAAGATGATGCAAGTCCTAAAGCCCCGATCTTATTGTTTACGAAAACCCCATAATCTCAAATCCCCCGTTGATATGTGGGTCACGCCCTTCAAGTGTTTAACCCCGCAGCCCTGAATAAAACTGCCTTCGAAGGGTGCCAGCACCGTCTATGCCATGCCATGCAGTATCCTCACAGAGGGCCGCTTGCCTAGTGGTGAAGTACAGTCTTTTCAGGTTACTTCGGGCCTGATATCAGGGCCATGTTCAGGTACCCTTCCCAGGATTGAGAGGCTAGGGTGTCGTGAAAGCTCAAGATCTGGAGCTTGCAAGTTTGCGGGGGGGGGGGGGGGGNNGTTGCAGTATTTGTTAGGCTGGGCCGTCTTCATTCAAGGCCCTCAGCCCAGAGTTCTTGATCTTTGAAGTTTGCAGTCAGAAGCGCGATAGTCTTGTGGAGACTATGTAGAGCCAAGCCAAGGAGCCCTAAATAAACATTGACATCTGTTGAAGTACTGGAAGGGGGAGGTCACTGAAGGATACCTTTAGTAGATGAATTTGTTGGCCGTTCCTCCCGTTCAATGCTCAAATTTACCCTTGTTTTATGATTGGGGTGTGGCTTCAGTGTCAGAAAGACACCATTGAGGCCTTGACGGTCAAGCGCTGCCAGGTGGTGGATCGGCACTC